ATGGGCTGAATAAGCGGAAGTGAGGAGGGCCTCAGAGACAAGAGCAGAAAGAAGGTAAGAAGACAGTCCATCCTGCCCCAGCCAGTACTGGGGGCCACCTGGCTAAGCAGTCTCCACTGGCAGAAGCCCGACACATCTCCTGACATCTGAACATCAGGTGTGGTCATGGCCTCACATGAGGAGCCATATAACTACCCTTCTTCTTACCACCTGGTGAGGTTCCCCAGCAGTCTGGACCCCAGGCTCATCTTGTGGGGACAGATACTTCTCAGTGGCCCAGGATGTTTGATAGCCCCACCAAGGCCTGGACACCCACAGGGGTTACAGTGTGGAAGTGAGCATCCTGACCTTTGGCAGAGCCAGCTGCCAATCTCCAGTGGCCAACATGACAGATACCCTCCCCCCAATTCAATTATAAGGTCACAGTACATTTGGGGAGCAGACAAAATGCTTGGTTTCGTAACACTGATGACAATAGGATCTTTTGAGCTGGCGGGATCATAGACCAAGGTGTTCACTGTGGGTACACATCGGTCTATAATGTGGGATGGTTTTATGCCTGTCAAAGGACAGTGTAAGGAAAGGCTGAGAGATACTGGTCCGTTTCCCATTACATCTCTAGGGCATCAAGGCCCAAATGTCCACCAATAGATAAATGGATAAACAGAATGTGGGATATCCACATGGCGTAACATTATTCAGACTTAAAAAGAAAGGCAACTCCGACACACGCTACCACTTGGATAAACGTTGAAAACATTATGCTAAATGAAATAAGCCAGACCCTCCTCTCAAAAATTATATGATTCCACTTATATGAGGTATCTAGAAAAGTCAAATTCATAGAGATAGAAAGAATAGAAGTTAACAAGGGCTAGGGGGAGGGAGGATGGGGAGTTATTATTTATTGGGTATGGAGTTTCAGTTTAGGATAACAACAAAGTTCTGGAGATGGAGGGTGGTGAAGGCTGCACAACAATGTAAATGTGCTAAATGCCACTGACTCGTACACTTAAAAATGGTTAAAATGGCAAATTTTGTTATGTATATTTTACCACACGCACACACACACACACACGCACACACACACACAACCTTTTTTAAGGCGCCAAGAAGTGAAATAGCTCAACGCAAAGATTGAGTTTCTGTCCCTAGTATGTGAGGGACATTGACTTTCAAGGAGGAGAATGATGTCGACAAAGATGCACAGATACTTTCCATACTTGTCCTGTGCCTGGTACTATGCTGGGTGCAGGATTAATTAAAGAAGTCGTGGATGCAGCAGCCATTCTGCCCTCATATCCAAGTTGAGAAAGAAGCAATTCCTGCTTCCTGGAGCTGAAAAAGTAGGGGAGATGACCTGATAGCCCCAAGATCACCCCCAATAAACCAGCTTCCTGGTATTCACACCCTTGCACAGTGCCCCTCCACACTGACTCGTGCCAGCCCCGTGGCTCAAGGTAGGTCCAGCAACTTCCACTTTCATGCCTTTGGGAACCCTGAGTGGCCTTGTAAGAAGTCCGGCTACTCTGCTGGAGGGATTGTGCTAGAAGCCTCACAGAGGGAGACATGGAGAGAGAAACCCAGGAGTCCCCACACCCCATCCGGAGGGTTGCAGGAGCAAAGACAGGGACAGTCACAGGCTATCATGAAAGTCCAGAATCTCAAAGAGATATTTACACACCCATGTTCATAGCATTATTCACAGTAGCTAAAATGTGTTAGCAACCTAAGTGTCCATCAACAAATGAAGAGATAAGCAAAATGTGGGCTGTATATACAATGAATATTATTCAGCCTTAAAAAAGAAGGAAATTCTGACACATGCTACAACATAGATGGACCTTGAGGACATTATGCTAAGTGAAATAAGCCAGTTAGCAGAGGCTTGGGGAGGAGGGAATGGGAAGATATTATGTAGCGGGTATACAGTTTCAGTTGGAGAAGATGAAAGTTCTGGAGATGGATGGTGGTGATGGTAGCACAACAGTATGAATGTGCTTAATGCCAATGAATTATATATTTAAAAACGGTTAAGATGGTAAATTACTAAAAAGTCTACGTGGGAGATGTGAGAATACAGGCTATGGGGCTGGGGGTTCTTCTCTAGTGTCTGGGTGGGGAAGAGGGTAGGGGGAGGAGCAGAGGATGTTTCAGGTTCTGACAGGGGTGCATGGGTGGTTGGAGGTGCCATTCACCTAGAGAGGGATCAGAGAGGAGAGGAGATGGGGTGTTTTGGACCTCCAGAGAGAGACAGGCTGTTTCCGCCCAAGGTGACAGTACTGTCAGAAGCTGCATGGCACCTTGATGCAGCCTCTCACTTATTCCTCAAATGCTTATTGAGGACTTGCTCTGTCCTGGGCACTCCCGAGACACCTCATTAGAATACCCATCAGAGAAAGTGACAGAAATTCAGACTATCAGCAGACAACCAAAAGCAGAGGCAACTGAAAGGATAGCCCTGGCTTCTGCTGAAGCTTTACATCTTGGCGCAGATCCCCTCAACAAAAAAGGCAGGCAGATTCTGATCACTCTGATACTTGCCATGCCACCCGGGTCCTGACTCAAGCCGGAGCACCCCAAGAACTTGGCAGCTGTCGCCTCTGCTGCCCTACCCAGCAGAAGCCCTGTTTTTCTCACCCTCAAGATCTCCAACTTGACCTCTGTCTTTCTAAATTCTAACTAAGCAAAATCACACTCTCCAGGAAGTAAGGAGCCAGGAAGGGGTGGTGGTGGGTGCATACATCGGCTGTGGTGGAATGTACTCTGAGAGGAGTAAATCTTTAAACTCAAAAGGCCAATGAGAACTGAGGAAGACATCTGAAACATCTATGACAAATTTTTAATTTTCTTAATATATAAAGAGCACTTACAACTAATTAAGAAAAATAAATATCCTGGCTCCCTCAAAATGGGCAAATTCAAAAGCAAGTCAGTAAAAAATAGAGACAAATAGGTAATAACTTTGAAACATCACAAATGCTATTTGAACTAAGAAATTCTTAAAGATTTGCATGATAAAGCTTTGCGTTAGCAGGACTGTAAGGAAACAAGCCCCCCTACTCTGCTGATGGGAGGGTAAAGTTGGTACAGATTTTCAGGAGAGCAATTTGAGAAATGCAGAAAAGCCACAGCAAAACCACTTCCAGTATTTACCCAAAAGAAATAATTAAATATGTGGGCAAAGATTTAGACACCAAGATATTTCTCACAATTACAGTGTAATTTAAGCATTGACTATAAATATAAAAAGTTTGATATAATCTAAATATTCATCAACATTCAGGAGTTGAATAACTGAATTATGGTGTATCCATATATTAAAATACTATGCAGACATTTAAAAAGATGTGTAGAAGAATATTTACTGACATAGAAAAATGACTCTGGATATTGCTGAGTGAAAATGTAAACTGGTAAACCTTTTAAAAAACATTATCTGGAGTAGGATTACCTCTAGAAAGTTATGGGGTCTGGGGACTTCTGGTAGAGGGGTGGGACCGACAGGCTCTATTTCTTCACCTGGGTGGCATATATGGCTCTTCCCTTCATAATTTATTCATTAAAGCAGGGTTTCTCAATCTTGACACTATTAACACTGAGGCTGGATATTTCTTTACTGTGGGTGTGATGAGGGTGGGGAGGGTGGCTGTCCTGTGCACTATAGGATATTTAACAGCAACCTTGGCCTCTACCCATTAGATGACAGTACACACACACACGCACGCACGCACGCACGCACACACACACACACGTGATGACACCACCAAGTGTCTCCAGACAATGCCAAATGTCCCCTAAGGAACAAAATCACCCCCAGTTGAGAATCTCTGCATCAAAGCATACATTTGTATTTAATATACTTTACTTGAGAATTAAGTTTCACAACTAAAATTGCTTTTCTTAAAAAGAGAAAAAAAGAATCTTGGAGGACATTTGTGAGATTATTAACAAATTAATTCAAAGTGCCAGGATTTGGGGCCACTTATTACTTTTGCTTCAAGCCTTTCTGTATTGCATCCTTTTTTACATTGAGTATATATTATGTTCACAAAAAGAAAACAGAAGGCTATTTTCAATGCTTTAAAGACAGTTTTAATGTTTTAAAAGCTAAATTCGGAGGAATTCAGTGCCCTGAAGCCCACCTTCCCAACATAGGTGAATCAAGTCTGCCCCTCACAAGTGTCTCCAGTCTTGATCTCCCAGGCTCCCCAGGAGATAAAAGAAAGAGGAAGAAGAGAAGGGGGAAGGGATCAGCTGAAGAGACATGGGAGGAATGAGGGAGAAAGAAGAGAGAGAGAGACTCGGTTTTCTGGCTGGGAAGCCAGGGGAAGCAGATAGAAATTCACCAATTGGAGACGCAAGAGAGCCAACCTTCAAGAAAATAAGATGTTTGGCCTCCAAAAGATCGGGGATCTGGTTTTGTTCTTCTTGGATGCATTCACAGCACCTGGAACAGCACCTGGCATGTAGTAGAGGCTCAATAAAGATGTGTTCGATGAACTAAGTGCGTGGATGGAGGAACATAAATATTCACATTACAGGGTGGAAAATGGGCAGGACAGAAGGAAGGTACAGGTTACCAAATGCTATAGGAAATGAAGCTGCTCGTTCACAAGGTGATCAGTCAAAAATACCTACCACAGCCCAGGTACTCATGGTAGTTATAGTTAACTGATTAATTAATTAATACAAGAACAAAGGAATGATAAGAATTTATTAATCGCCTCTACCCTGAAGCCCTGAGACAAGGAAACCAAAAACGTACCCTCAGAATATGGTCTCCAGGAGCTCAGAGTCTATTTTGGGAGGCAGGTCCTGAAATTACATCCGAGGCTGGAATGCCCGGGGAACAGCTGCAAGAAAAGTCGGGCCAGCCAGGCCCACGCACTTGGGGCTGCATGTAGGAGCCAAGCACATAGTGCAGGCTGGCTTCTCTGCAAGCAGGACACAGTTCCATCAGTGCCATTAGGGGTTTGGGCTCAGGGGTTCTCAACCCTGCCTGACATCTGACACATTTGGAGATTGTTTAGAAACACCTATAGTTGGGTCCCTCCTTCAAAATTCAGCTCAAGAAAGAAGGGGACAGGGAGACTGGCAGTAGTTTTTTTTAGAGCTCCCCATATGATTCTGATGTGCAGCCAGGATTGAGTACCCCAGCGTGGATGATCCGTAAATTCTGGACTGATTCTAACAGTCTCCCTCCCTAAGCGTCAGCTCAGCTCCAAACTCCAACATGAATACACTTTGGGGTGGGGGTGGGGATGTCACATTAATTTTACCTGTCATCACATCTCACATTAATTTCTCTCAATGTGTGTTTCCAAAATTGAACCACGGTCTCCTGAGGATTCTCAGGTACTGCCCCAGACTGCATGACAGCTAGAGGCTGGACCAGAAAGGGCACAAACACTACTGAACATCTATTTGAACTCAACTTTGGGCATCGTGATAAATAGGATAGGCTGCTGCTCTCAAGGAATCATGGCATCGTAAGTATAGAACTGAGTACTGAGTATAGGCTGGTTGGGGTGAGTGCGCTAGCAGACCTAACAAGGTGCTGTGCATCCAAAGAGGATAGACTAATGAGAGCCAAGGGAATCCTGGGTGCCTTTCTGGAGAACGTAACATTGCAGTGGGGCTCTGAAAGAGGAATAGACTTTGAACAGTTGGAAATGTTACATTCTATTATATTTCCGTTTTGCTCAGGGCTTGTCAGTGCATAAATGGCAAGGCATCTTAAAGGATGGGGAATGCAAAGATGGGGGGAGGACAGCAGCTGGACGCCTGCAGGGCAACAGTCCAGAGAGGCCTCGATGGATCACCTACCGAGTCACCTCCCTAACTCAAAGGCACTGCCCACTCCAAGCACTGGTAGTTCCCTGCCACCACCACTGACCTAGACACATCATTTAACTTTCCCAGGTTTCCATTTCCTTAGCTGGAGAATGGGGAGATTAGTAGTTACCAGACACTGTTACAGAATCGGAGAAAGAAAGCTGTGAACTGACCCAAAAGAATTCCAAAGCATCTGCGAGACCTAGGCTGATATACTCCCCTGGGCTCAGGGTCCTTAAGGAACATCTTTTCCAGCAGGTGGTGGCCTCACAATTTCTGTACAGGAATGGCTTAGGCAGAGTTTGATGGACAGGGGAGAGCTAGGGACCTTGTCCTGAAGTCGCATTTCATCATAGGCACCCAGGAATGTCACTTATTAATGAAAATAGCAAAATTTTCAACTCACACTTCTCAAAAGAGAAATAAAATGTAAATCATCCCATAACAAAAGCTAAAGCTGCACATAGTTCTCACTTTGCCAAATTGTGTCTTTCATCTATGGTTATGAGGATTTGGGGGAGCAGATGAAGATCATGGGTTAGAGCTAAAGATTCCTCCTGGTGCCCCCACAGTTTTCAAGCCTCAGGGAAACATCAGTCACTTGTTCCTCTACATTTGACCATCCGTTGTGATACACATACTTTTTAATTCTGCACAACCACAGGACATGCCTCCTGGCAAGAGAAAAACTCTCCTTTCTCTCCTTATTTATCTTCTTTGCAGAACTGGGGTCCTGACTCACACCATTGTTCCTTCTCTTAATTTTGACAAATCCTTCCTCTTCCCTTTCCCCTTCTGAGACACCTCCTCCATGGAAATGACAGCCATAGAGTAGGGGGATAAGGTGTCTGGTGAGAGGGAGATTGTGAGTCCTTTGTTGCCCTAAACGCAGAGACAGACCCTCTGTTGTCTAAACACCACATATAGGCACTTAGGCTCTTTGAATTTGAAAAAAACATCCTTGACAGGCCCAAAATTCCTAGTATCAAGGCCATATCCGGCCTATTCTGTTCCTTTTCCTCCCAAATGAGACCCGGCAATTCAATATGACCAGTGTTCAATAAAGATGAGCGAACGAATGAATAAATGAATGAAATAAAGATCTAACTTCCAAAGCACACTCACTACACGCCCAGTTTTCAAGTGATCCAGATTCCTCGCTGCATTCCGCACCCATCTTCTCACCCACACTTATCCCCACCGCCCAGCAAGGGCTCGGACTTTATTCCCTCTGGGTATCAGGCTTAGAAAAATGGTAACTGTTGACAAATTACGGCACATTCAGTTTTCCAAAATTTCGGAGCACTATGGCATTTATTGTGCTCTGCTTCATCCTCCTCGCCCTCTGCAGAAGACAAGGCTGAGATTTCTGTCCCTGCTGACAGAGGAAGAAAAATGTGGCTTGGACTAGGGTTAGTGCTAGAGCTGGGGCCGCAGACCCGGCGGTGCGCGCGGAAAACTGAGGGGCGCGGGCGCGGTGGCCACCGGGCTCTCACCTCGGAAAGTTAAGCTGGCGACCGGGTCGCTGCGCCGGTCCTTCTTCACATTGGGCAGGTTGCTGGCCCTCACCAGCAGGCAGCACAGCATGGTTCGGGGGTCCTGGGTGCTCAGAGGCGGGATGGGAGCGAGAGCAGGAACGCGAGGAAAAGCACGGAGCCCAGACACCCAACGAGCTCAGCTATAGCCGCGCCAAAGAAGAGTTGCCGCCTCCACGGAGAAGTCCCAACGCCTGGGAGAGGCTTCAGGCAGGACACGGGGCACTAGCTGGGCGGACCCTCCCCACGACGGGCTGGGCGGGGCAGGGGTCAGACGCGGGCCTGTGGGAGCGCTGGTCCCCTTGCGCCCGTCCGCGCCCGCGACCGGAATGACAGCGCGGCTGACGCGACGCGCAAAGCACCGCCAGGCGGCAGGGACAGGGCGCCCGCCGGCCCTTCCCGCGGGAGCCCCCAGCGAGGTCCTGGCTGCCGAGTGCTCGCTGCGCTCCTCCCCTCTGCGCCCAGCGAGGCCCGCACGCGAGGGCGCTTGGCGAATGCGGCCGAAGGAGGAATGAGCGAAGGCGGGAGGAGGGTGAGACCCAGCTTCAGAGACAAAAATGTGTCCGCGAGGAACTGCAAGTCCGGGCGAACGCTGAAAGAGACGTGTACGGAGCGACGCAGCACGCCCTGCGCCCCTAGTCCATCGCTTTCGCGCCACCCGCCCAGCCCCGCCAGTCTAAGTCCCGCGCTCGCAGCCCAGGCCGCCCGTCCGCGGTGCTGGGAGCCCCGCGCCTAGCCAGACTCCGAGGCTTGAGCGCTCGCGAATCCGTCTCTGCGCCTTCCCCAGAGCAGTCTGGAGTCGCCCGTCTCCAGAGGCAGAGGGCCGTATCCAGATTATATTGCAATCCTGGAGCACAGGGGTTCACCCATGGTCATTTGGTCCCTGGCAACATCCCCCATAGCAACCTCTAGGCTCCCTCGCCCCTACTGTGGGGGGGAAATTGATTATAGTGTGAGCCTTGAGCAGCGACAGCTCTTAGCAAACTTGCCCGTGTTATGTCTAGTACTTTTCCAGCTGATGAACTTCTTGACCACAGGAGCCTGACTTCTCACCTCTATACCCCTATGCTCCATCACCTGACACCTGACAGGTCCCTCTACCCACCTGCCAAGTACTCACTGACTTCCTAAACTCCACCTAAATTCAGTGGCTAGTTATCATCACTATGCTGAGCAAAATTGCAACGCCCTTTCCCCCTCTCCTATTTTGAGGATCCAGCATTTTCATGTGGCAAAACTGTAACTTGGTGAAATCTACCTCTGTCTAGTCCACCCCTGCACCCTAACCACAAAAAGTGTTGGAAAAGAACACAGCTAACCTGTCCTGTGTTCCCTGATATTAATAACCCCTGACTCAGGCCGCCCCCACTGCTGCCCAGCAATCATACTATAGATCCAGACTCTTCAGTCTCAGAAGCTCTCTCCTAGATGACTACTTCATACTTTTCTCTCCCCAAACTTACAGCACCCCATCGCCATCCTCATTCTGTTTGCTTCTTATTTTCCGAGTAGAGAACTTTCTCCTCAGGCTCCCAGTCTCCTGGCCCCTATTTCAGCCTCTGAGCCCAAATCCTTTGCCTTCCCTCCTATTATTATGAACAAATCATCCTTACTCCTAAGACCATCTGGCACCAGGGCACTAGATCCTGGCCCCTCTCACCCACTCAGTGACAAGTCCGAGACTGTCCTCTCCCCAACCTTAAAAGCTGTTCCTTCTCAAACTGGCGTGGGCTCTCTTTCTCCTCACTCTACCACTCTCCCTGGGCAACCCCACCCATAAGGTGGACACCTCTGGTCCATTAGCCACACTGGAGCCAGGCGATCTTGAAACAAATATGATCAGGTCACTCTCCCGATGAAAACCCCTCAAAGACCTCCCCCGCTCTTGGAATAAAGCCCAGATTCCCTATTCCCTATCTTCACTCACAAGGATAGACTACTCAGCCCCTCATTCTCTGAGTTCCAGCTTCAGTGGCTTCTCAATCTCTGGAACACGTTGCGCTACCTTCCCTCCCTCCCAAGCCTCCCAGCTCTGCCACCCTCTCTGCCTGCAACTTCCTCTTTCTCCCTCCCTCCCTCTTTCTCTCCCTTAAATTTTTAGTATAGTTGGCATACAATATTATAGTAGTTTCAGATGTACAACATAGTGATTCAACATTTATATACCTTAACGATGTGATCACCATGATAAGTATAGTAACCATCTGTCACCAGGCAACCTCCCCTCTCCCCCATTCGTCATCCTTCAGGCCCCAGCTTAAACATTATTTTCCCAGGAAGCCATCTCTGACCTCCTAGTCTAGGTTGGGTCCCCCTGGCAAACAACCACGTAGTAGCACTTTTCCTTCTTAAGCACTGGCACAATTTTAAGGAATAACTATTAGTGTAATTGCTTATTTGATGTCTAGCTATAGTGAGGGGACAGACCAAGGGGACAGACCGTCTCAGTCAGCCAGACATTCCAGCCCGCCTGGTATTGATGTAGTGGACATTGTACTTGGCTCCCCGGTGTCACTTCTACCCCAAGATAACGCTAAGCCAGTGTTTCTCAAAGAGGATGGTACTGCCCCCTAGGGGGAGTTTTGGGATATGATGATTTGGGATGTTTTTTAATTGTCACTATGATCCCAGGCTTTGCTCCTTTTTTCCACCACATCCTGCCCTCTACTCCGACTCTAATCAGTCAGTCAGCACAGGAAATCTGCAGGGAGCACATCTAACATTTCCAGAGGAATATTCCAAGGGACTTTTACAAACACTTGGCTCCAAGGAACAGGGACACTGCACACCTATTCTGTAAACCAGAAATGCAGCCACTGGTGACCTGGTTCCTAGATGCTTCCTGAAGCCTCTTTCTCATCCCAACCTCCAACTTCCCTAACTGTTGTTTACTGCCCAGGGCTCCTTCTGGGGTCTAGTTCTCCAGGGGACTTCCTCCCAAGGGAGCACGTATCAAGGATGCAGCTCTCATAGAGTGTGGCTGAGACCTCCACCTGTCCTTCCCTTGTATGTTCTCCCCTTCTTCCATAAAAATTTTCCATAGAGTTTTACCTAGACACATGGCCACCCAAATAGAAAGACTACATTTCCCAGCCTCCATCGCAGCTTGATGTGGCCATGAAATCAAGTGATGACCAACATGATGTGAGCAGAAGGAATATAGGTAACTGCTTGCTTATGCCCTTAAAGGGGAGGAGCATGCCTGCTCTTGCTATAGTATAGATTGTGGTAGTGAGCCATCACCAACTATGCTGTCAAAGGGACCCCTGGGGACAGCAGAGTAACAAGACAGTAGGACCTGAGACCCCTGGACATCACTGTGGGTTAGAATTCACCAGCCAGGACTGCCTACACATCACCTATTATGTGAGTGAGAGAGACCACCATTAATTACAGCTTGCTAACAAACAGCCAGGTCTGTATCCCACCCAAAGCCACAGGTAAGGGCAGCTCCCCAGCACCCTGGAATGCTCCGGCCCTGCGGTGAAGGTGACAGAGCAGGCTTAGGAGCCACTGTTGTGTAGCAAGGGGGTGAGGAGACTTGTCGTGAAGCTGACTTGCATAGCAAGCCCAGTTTTTACTTAAGATGTCATATTAGCTTCCATAATGTTTCAGGGCTGATAGAGGTAAGGGAGAAGGAACTAACACTCTCCCCCATCGCCCCAACACCCCATCGATGTAGCCATTGATAGGTGCTGACCGATAATCCCAAGTGAGAGAAGACTGCCTTGCCTGTTCTCTGGAGAGCCCGGGCAGGACCAAGGTCTCCAAGATTAAATGAAACACTCGGATGCTGTCACTGGTGTTCCCTGGGGACACATCCTGCTTATGGACCTGTTGCCTTTGACCAACTCAATGTTTTAAAACAATATTGTACCTTAACTAAACATTAGATTTCCCACACAATTCTGGATTTTAGCTTCTTTTGAAAAATTAGAGAAGCTAGCACACGGGTCCAAATTCTCTGCCTAACACCAATAGTCTGGCACCCTCCCAGGTCACCCCACTGTGGGTTCCCCCCACTTGCCACCATTCACCCAAGATGCATGTGCTTTTCCCTCTGGCCTCATCTTAGTAACAACATCTGCCAGGCTCCCCAAGGCATGTGAGTTTGTGAACCCCGTCCTCTTCTGTCACCTATTTGAAGTCTTACCTCCCCAAAGGTCAGGGAAGAAGTGTTTCTAACAAGGCCCCTGTTGAAGATGAGCCACCTGGTCTCTGGCTCAGGTCTCTGTTTTTCCCCAAGGCCACACATGAGGCGTCAAAGAAGCAAACAAACCTTCCTTTCTGCTCAATGCCATCAACCTTGAGGTGAACACTCTGCATGTGAGTGTTTTTGCCAAAGTCCAAAATCTTCTAGGAGTATGGATGGTCCAATGCATCCTTCTGCCCTCTCCCCTCACATTCATTGAAGAATATATATTCATAGTAAATGACTTCTATTTAGAACAGTGCCAAGCACCTAGTAAGCACAGTGTCAGTTAAATATATTTCTTTCATAGGATTATTGTGAGGTTTTAAAGAAACAGCATCTGAAAATGGTACACTGTGCTTAATGAATGCCTATTCTTGCTCCTTGCGATAAATACACATTTTCAAAATCAGAATCCTCCATCTTTTGATCATTTGCCTTACACTATGTTCCCTGCAGCCTTGTACTGCCCCCCACTTTGACTCAGCCCCAAGCACAACCCTCCCCTGTGCTGGCTCAAGCCTCTAGTGCCCGGGTGTGGGCAGCATATGGTATGCTTTCCAAAGCACTTTCTAATTCATGAGCCATGGGTGCTGAGCACAACAGAGGGACTGATGATGGGGGATGCTTTGGCCGCTGTGTGACTTTGGCCAGGCCTCTGAACTTCTCTGGGTGATTTACTCCTCTGAAAAGGGGGATAATATCTCTGCCCTTTTACCTCACAAGGCTGTTTGGAATAGGAAATGGATTTATGCAAGCATGAAGGAGCCAAGAGGTATCATATCATTGCGGGATATTATAATCAGGTAGCCAAAGAGGAGCTTTATGGCACCCAAACCTAAAGGGTCTGGAAAGCCAGATCAGGGCCAGCAGGTGAGGAAGGCTCCCCAGAAGGGTGTTTTGCTCTGGGAAGTGCATTCCTGAGACCAGAGCCTTCTGTGTAATCATTCACCAACCCGGCCCTGGCTTGGGAGAAGGAGGTTTAGCAGGCCCAAATGCCGCAGGGAGGCCAAATTTGGACATGGGCTAAGAGCTCCGCCAGTGCAGGCTGTGGAATGTGGCCAGGGCTGGGGGAGGGAGGGACTGCATTCCCTATGACTGCCTGGCAGTGACTGTGATGACTGTGAGTGGGGGTTCTAGCCAGCCCCCTCTGCAGGCCGACAGCACTCATGGTCAGCACAGAGAACTTCCTTTCTCCCCAAGGGAGGGGGAGTGCACCCAGAAGAGCCAGGCAGCAGGCAAAGGGCAGGATTGCAGACTGATCTCAGGGCAGATGGGGGAGGACTTAGTCAGAGATAGGGATGTGGATAGAGAGGATGGAGGAGACTGACCCATAGATAGCCCTTGGGGTAATGACTAGAGAGGAGCCAAACCAGCAATACTTCCTCGGGTAAAGTACTTCTGAGGTTAGAAAATGCTTCTTCATTCATTATTCATTCTTTCCTTTCTCCAGCTAGGGTT